AAATAAATGTAAATTTTATTTTAAATGTAAGTTTTATAAAATTGAATAAGTTTTGTAAAATTGAATTAAACAACTTTTTAAAATGACATGAAAATCATCCAACATCTTTATTAATGAAATTTATTGTTGGTCGAATCTATAATAACACAAAATAATAAAATAGAAAAAAATTAAAAAAATTGTGTATATTATAACACATATTTATTTAAAACCATTACTTTTTATAATATATTACGACAGTTAAATATTTATCACTTTTTACATATAAAATATATGATTTTTTTAACTGATATATAAAAATATGACATTTTTAACTATATTTTTATAATAAATTTCTATATTTTCTTTTCACTTTTCCCTCACTTTCCCTCTTAAATTAAATATGATTTTTTGATTTGTCCCAAAAATTTGAAATCTCGCGCTAACATGTAGAAACGAGCTGGAACCCGCCAACTGTGCACTCCGCTTCCGTCTAAGATCGCCACCGGCGAAGCTGGTTGCTCTTAGAGTAGTGGGTGGCACGGTCAGTGTCCCCTTTCCTTGTTGCGAGCGAAACCCCTTTCTTCTTCATGTTCTACAGATTGTGTGGTTGAGCCGCTGTGACTGGAAACCACAATTATAGAAGTTTCCTGCTAACATATGATGTGTTGTTTGTGTGAAATTGTAGGCTTCGAGATATTACATAAGACTATACTCCCATTTTTTTTTTTTTTTAAATTCTTGGGTGTTGCTCCCTACACCACCCCACTTTGCTCTATGTACCACTACATTTTTCTAAAATTTCAAAACTATCCTTTATATTTTAAAATATCCTACACCCCCACCTCTTTTCTTCAATGGATGTCAACATCCGAGGAAGAAAAAATTCTTCAACGGATGTGACACATCCGTTGAGTTTTTTATTTTTTTAATTTATTGTATTTTAAATTAATATATAAATATTATTTAATTTTTTTTAAAATTATTACGTAATTATTTATAATTTAATTTTATTTTATTTAATAAAATAATTATTATTAATTTTAATTTATGTATTATTATTCAAATAATAATTAAAAAATTTGTTATAAATATATTAAAATGGATGTGCCACATCCGTTAACGGATGTGGCGACATCCGTTGCATTTTTTTTTGGTTTTTAGTCTTTTTTTAAAATTTTTTTTATTTTAAATTAATGTATAAATATTATTTAATTATTTTAAAATTATTACTTAATTATTTATAAATTAATTTTATTTTATTTAATAAAATAATTATTATTAAATTTAATTTATGTATTATTATTTAAATAATAATTAAAAAATTTGTTATAAATATATTAAAACACGGCAACGGATGTGGCCACATCGTTATGGATGTCGCACATCCGTTTTATAATTTTATAACAAATTTTTTAATTATTATTTAAATAATAATACATAAATAAATTTAATAATAAGTATTTTTTATAAATAAATATAAATTTAAATTTATAAATAATTAAGTAATAATTT